ACTAGAAGATGATAACAGGATCTATAACTTAAGAATTAAAAACATAAAAGAAGAAGTAGGGACACAAACAAATGAACTACAAAAGCTATTCACAGAAATAATCCAGGACAATTTCCCTAATTTAGCAAAAGGTAAAGATACTCTGATGTATGAGGCATAGAGGACCCCAGCCACCTACAACCCAAACAGAGCAACACCCAGGCATATAATAATCAAAATTCCAGAAATCCAATATAAGAACAGAATATTAAAAGCTGTCAAAGACAAGAAACAGATCACTTACAAGGGAACACCCATCAGAATTACAGCAGACTTCTCAGCACAAACCATCAGATCACAAAGAGTTTGGGGGGAAATAATTCAAGCTTTGAAAGATAATAACCTCCAGCTAAGATTGATATATCCTGCACAACTGTCCCTAGAAATTGATGGAAAAACAAGGTGCTTCCAGGATAAAGAGGAACTAGGGGAATTTGCACCCACCAATTCAACTCTACAGAGTTTACTGAAGGATATTCTAAAAATGAAAAATACCAAGATTCCAGAAACAGTGGCAGAGCGGCCACAATGAATGGAGCAGAAAGCGAAATGAAGAGGACAAACTGACAACTAATGACAGAAAAAGAGCTCAACAGAAATGAGGCAGAGAAGGTTGGATGGTAGGAACAGCTATTTTGGAGAAAACAAGACATCATAATAGGTAGTGCTGATTTAATATCCTCTTGTTTTGAAGTCCCATCAAGCTTTTGTTCTTCTTTCTCCATCGGTTTTAACCTGTTGTATCTTATTGGATTTTATCATATGTGATAATATAAACTAAAACTTTTATAGAGATTTTAAAGAGATTATACAGAAACTATTGTTCATTTTCTGTTAGTTGATTCTAAATGCTCGGTAATACTGTCATTCTCTTGAACAGTTTTACATTGTCTTGATACGTTTTGATGCTACAGTATACAAAGTCATACCCAAAGATTTTAAGGGAAGAGACACTATGGTTAACTACTATTATGTTGAGATTATCTTGTGGTAAAACACTATTTTGCTTAAATGGCTATGTTTTGACCTGCACTGTTTTGTTGTTATGCCCTCTTTTTTATCTCAATCTCCTTTTCATTATCTACTTTTTCATTTTTATCCTTTTAATTAAGGGAAAAATAAATAAAAAATAGCAGGATATATTATAGTAACCCACTTTGATTTCCTATTAACTTGATTTGAAACTCTGTATTGCTCTCACCATCTTGTTTTGACTGGTTTTCCTCTATTCTGTTATGCTTGATAGTACCAAGTTTGAAAGTATAGGCAACAACTATGAAGACAATAAGATTCATTGTGACGCCCATTCTGATTGACTATTATCTTCTTTTGAAGTCCTCTAATGTCTCCAATGCTTTGGTTTTATTGGTCTTATTCTTTACTGTTTTGTTCAATTTTATTATAACTGATGATTTAGGCAATTCTTCTTAAGATAGCAAGAGGCATTATGGAAACCATTGTTGATCACCTTGTATTTTGTTTTTACATTATGTATTATGTCCATCCTTTTGATTTGACTGACTCTGTCCTGGTATGTCATATTTGGTTTTACTTTCTTCAAAAAAAAAAAAAACAGTAGTAAGAACTGTGGGAGTAATAAAACCCAAAATGTGTAATTGTCATTGTACAAAAGAAAGGAAAAGAAAGTTCTCTAAAAGATATAACTGCATATATATTTAAGTGTATAAGATAGATAACCACATTACTGAGTTTTGTTGGATCATTGAACAAAACTGTTTGCAGTCTCACTGTTTGAAAGTCCCCTCTATATGCTTTAATTTTATAACTTCAACAACTATTTCTAAGATGACAATATGTAATTAACTAGTGATTTCCTACTGTTTATTTTTTCTGAAAGTCTGTATAACTTGTACCTTTTTTCTGTTTCTTTTTTCTTTTTTATCCTTAAATAAAATTAAAAAAAAAAAAGAAATATGAGAGTGGGCAGTCTACGAGGCACACTGACATTAGAGAATCTTATGCAGATGAATAATGGTGAGCTGGCTGCCCTGAATCAAATCTATTAGGTTATGGTCCTGTGATTGAAATAAAATTATTTCCTGTGTCTGTGGGCTGTGTGACTCTTGGGTCACTGAACACTGTGACTTTACCTTGTGGCTTACATGTGATGGGCCAGATTTTCTCTACAGCTAAAGCCACAAAATAACATGAAACAGAAGCTTAAAAGATTCAATTAATTCAACAACAAAAGGCACTTATGGCTTAAGCAAAAACTTAAAATGTGGTCTGAATAGCTTCCTTAGGAATAACAGTAAATTAGGAGGAATCCTGCCTCCTGCTTTGCTTCTAATGCAAGGGTAAGGCTAATGCAAAGGTAATAAGCATAAATCCTGTTTTTAATATTGCCTTCAAACTCCCTCTGCTTGTAACACTCTTCCCCCGGACTTAGCACAGCCAACTCTTCACACTTTTGGTCTTTGCTTTCATGTGTTTTCTCAGTGAGGTCTTTCCTAGACATGCCATCTAAAACTTCAACAGACTTTTTACACACTCTCGTGCAGGAGCAAGTGTACGTGTGCACACAGACACATGCACACATACACACTTTCAACCTCAGTACTTACCTCTCTCTATCCAATCTGTGTTTTATTTTCATTATTTGCCTTCTCTCTTACTTATCCTCTTCTCCTATCAACTGCTATTTGTATACTACGTGTAAGCCTAATGAAGGCCAAGTTTTTGTTTACTTTAATATACCCTTGTACACCTAAAATGCTGATGGGTGAATATGCTACAGGGAAAATTTGTTGAATGCACAAAGAATCTAATATAGTCTCATAAGAGTTGGTGTTCCAGTGTCCGTGAATGCTGTTAAAAATCTTTTGTTTATTGCAGTCATTCAGATATAACATAAATCTAACCTATCCAGTTAACTTAAAACTGAAGGAAGAGCTTCCTGTGGGGTAATTGTTGGTTCACACAAATGATGCACAATATATTTTCTTTGGTAGAAATACAATAAGGCATAATTAACTTCATAACCCAGGTCAGACATCTGAACTGTTTGCTGATAATGAGATACAAATTGACTGCCAGAAAATACTTTGGCTTTCTAAACAAGGCATTGCCTTTTCTCAAAAAAGAAAACAGTTTGAAAAAGTAGAGTAAAAAATTTGTATGTTTTCACTAAAATATTGTCTTATTCTTCTCTCCCAAAGTACAAGGCATTGTTTGTAAGCCTTACATGTAAGGTACTCTCCATTTTCTCTTAGATCAAATGAAAGAATCCAAAATGAAAGATAACATCTATCTTCATGAAATAACTAATTATTTGGGTGCTTAGAAATCAATCAAAAGACTAAACACACACACACACACACACAAAAAAAAAAAAACCCTCAGCTAGATGTTTCATTGGTGGAATTACTGATTCATTCCCATAAAACTATAACTAACTTTTAATGGAATTTCATATTTACCTTAAAAAGTTGGAAGGCCCATGACATTAGGAAAAAATGATACAACTGAGTTGATTTAGGAATAAAACAACTTGATTTACATCCTGAGCAATAATGACTAATGGTGAGAGAAGCTACATTTCTACCACTCCCTTTGACTAAAGTCACCTTCCTTAAATATGTAACTCGGTGGAGCCTTTCTGTTTCCTACTTCCAAGGGACAGGCTGCTTTGAGGCTGGCAGCCACGAAATCTGGGAAACAAATGTAAAATAATGAGACTCTGGTTTATGAAATAAGCCTTTAAAAAGTTAAATTATCCGTAATTTCAAGTAATTCATCACAAAAATGGTAAATATCTGGGAGACAAAAAAGAAACTAAAATTCTAACTGTATTTTCAGTTATGTAAATGTATTTAGATTTGTATGGAGCCATCATCTTGTTAGTTAGGGGTATTTAACTGAGACAATATAAATTATTAAAAGGCAAAGGCTTAATACAAATAATAATTTTCACTTTTCATTTCAAGCTGAATCTTCTGCACTTCATCTTGTTAAGCTGCATAAAAACTGAGAAAGAGGTGTCTACTGAGACCAACTATAATTAAAGTCTTATTCCCTTGGAAAGTGATACCAGCTGACACATATAAGTAAGGCATCACAGAATTCAGAAGAGAGTAGAGTGTTGTTAACAATATACTCATTAAATACAGGGTGATAATGTAAATTGGGAGAATTCATACAAAATTTATTGGTTCCTTGAGAATATAGAATAGTCCTGGTGTCCAGCGGAATACGATCTTTATATGGAAATAAAATGTTCTCTCCGTAACAAAGCCCATGGCCCCTGGTTGTCCTGCAGCTCTGGCAATCACAGGAGCTGGACTGTGAGAGGGAGGTGCGTTCCATCAAGCCTTATGCTCCTCCCAGGTTTGCACTTTTGGGATCATATAGTTAAATGGTACTTTTCTGCAATGCAGCTTCACAATCCATGAAAAGGGTTCAAGTTCCCAGAAGGGTAAGTAACCATCTGTGCCACTTTATTTAGGACAGAGCAAGTTAGATATTTAGCCAACAATCTCAGGCCAGAAAGGGTTGAGAATCCTCTGCGCCAAGGTCCATTTTCCTAGGGAAGAGATGAGTTAGAGAAGCAGAAGCAAGTGCAGATGGGGTTCTGAGCCACCCCTGGCTGCTAGCTCCAGGCAGGAAAGCAGTGCTAAAGCCAGGTTACTTTATCAAGACACCAATGTTTCCAGCTGCAATCTGATTTTTAGCCATTTTGTAATAGGAAGGGATCTGTCCCTGAAGAGGGAGTAACGTGAGTTAACCACATATTCCTGCCTGTTCTAAAGGCATCAGAACCCACAAATGATTTACTCATCAAACTGAGTGGCTGTGTGCCAGTACACACAATAATTTTAAAAATATCTTTTTTTACACAACTGCAGCTACATTTGTGAAGTCTTCAATGCAGCACAAATTTGGAGCCGCGATCTTACTACAGTGCCCTAGAGACAAAATGTATGGCCAAGCCTGCAACTTACACAGTGTAGCTTGAACTTGCACTCATCTTCAATTTCATCTGCACTGTCTTCATCAGAAACTTCCCCTTCTTCTGCATCATCCCCAAGGTGATAAGGCAACTTCTTGCCCTGAAATGGATCAAAACATTTCCATTTGGAAGTGAAAATAATTCACAATAACCAATGGGTGCAGGCAATTCAAGTGTCCATTATGTCCATTGATACATGAATGAGTGCACAAAATGTGGCTTTGTTGGGAGTGGGATTACATGCTTGCAATCCTAGCACTTTATAGAGGCTGAGGCAAGAAGACTGCTGTGAGTTCAAAGCCAGCCTGAGCAAAATAGTGAATTCAAGGAGAACCTGAACTACAAAATGAGATCCTGTCTCACGAACTAAAATGTGGCCTATACATACAATGGACTATTATACAGCCTTTAAACAAATGAAATTCTGATACAGATTATGAAACAAAAGAATCTTGAAGGCATTATAAATGAAATAAGTCAAAGAAAAACACAGTATGATTCTACTTATACAAGGTGCCTAATGTAGTGAGATTCAGAGATAAGAGAATATAATGGTGGTGGCAGCAACGGGCAGGAAACAAAAATAGGCATTTGTTGCTGATAGATATAAAATTTCATTGGCAAAATTTAAAAAGTTCCAGAAATTGATTTGTACAACACTAAATATTGTTAACACTATTGAACTATACACATAAAAATTATTAAAATGTTAGGTAGGTATCTCATTTTCTGCATTTTAATCCAAATTTTAAAAAGTAAAAAATGAGCCAGGCATGGTGGCATGTGACTGTAACCCCAGCACTCTGTAGGCTGAGGCAGGACTGTAGAAAGTTCAAGCCCACTTAGGCTACAAAGTGAGTTCAAGGTCAGCCTGAGCTGTATAGTTCAGCAAGAAACTATCTCAAAAATGAACAAATAAATAAAAGGTAAAAATACAATAAGGTATCCTTGGCAAATCATCACTTCAGGCTAAGTAAAAAGCAGATTTTGAATTGGGGGCAAGATGAGGGAAAAAGGGACTTTTAAGAAAATTCAATCAGAGATAGAGATGTAGCTCAGTGACACAGTGCCTGCCTGGCAAGCATAAAGTTATGAGTTTGATTCCTGGTACAAAAAAAAACCAAAAACTTAAGTTAAAAAAAAAAAAGGTGGTCATATTACTTCCAATTACACATAATTAATTACAGGTTATATTTAAAAATAAGATCAGCTTCTTGCCAAGAATATATGACTCAGGGTATAAACATCACCATATCTCACTATGAACAACTGCTATCATCAGAATGTTGGTGTCTCCCAAACTTCAGACACTGATAATTAACAGCCAGTATCAAGTATCTAGAGGCACAGCGGTGTTTGAGAGGTGAGAGTCATGAGGGCTCCACTGAGCTCCCTGCCATCAGTGAGAAACAGGCCCTCATCAGAAACCCCCGTCTGCCAGTGTCTATTCCTCTAGAACTGTGAGTACTAAGTTCTTTTTATTTGCAAATGACCAGTCAAAGACAACTTGTTACAGTAGCCTTAGGGACTAATACCTTTATCTTCAGGTTAAGGCCCCCAAGAGCAGCTGGTTTTCCTCAGAAGGTTAAATGTGTCTTTAGCACTTAGGATGTGCCCTTTTCTGCTCAGCAAGACCCTCGTCCCAGGAAACACGCTGAGTTTCCTGAGCAGCCTGGCATACTCCACACATCAGGCTATTCCTGATAGAAATGGGGAGCTCTTGGTGAGGAAAATTCTTATAATAAGACCTGGCAAAGTGTTCAAGTTATACAGTTACATTCATCCTCAGTTCTTCAGAAGATCAGTTCCAGCACGGCCCAGCATCTTGAAGATGCTCCAGTCCATACCTGTGCACCACCTATGCACGCCTCCTACTTCCCTTAAAGCAGTTCTAGAGTATTTGTAAGATTCAATAGGATGTAAATGCCCTATAAATAGTTGGCATATTGTATTATTTAGGAGATAAGGGGAAATGTCTGTACATGTTCCATACAGACATATTTTTTAAAAAAAATTATTATCCATCTGTGATTGGTTGACTCTTCCAGAATGAAAGATCAAGTGCACAAACAAAATACAACCTTGGTGATGTATATAAACACAAGGGAAAAGTTCCGAAAGAAATATAATCAACTATAATTTCTCAGTAGGAATATTATGGGTGATTTTCCCTTCTCCATTTCCAAATTTATGTTCAAAAAAAGTAAATAAAAAAGAGCAGCACAGAACAAGGTCCTGCACCCTGATAAAGGCTTCTAGGGAAGCTATGTACACCATCAGGTTTCTTCCTTGCAAGCAGAAAGAAACATTAATTTGAGTTGCTCAAAGGATCTCTTTAAGGGTAGGTGTGGGCAGAGCAGGCCTAAAGGCTGAGTAGCCATGGCTGTTGCGGTAGGGAGTATTCATAGCAGTAGCCCATGTCTTCTACCACTTGGAACTCATGCCTTCTATAATCCTGCTACCTCTACATAGGCTGGACATAGTAATCCTCTTCTAACAGAGTACAGACATGGCGAGATTCAGATTCTCCTCACTCCCCCACCACTGTGAGCTGGGCTGTGTAGAACCCCACACAGTAAGGAACCGAGAGAGACCTCTGCCAACAATAACCACTGCATGCTCATGGAAGCAGAGCCTGCCCCAACTGAGCTCCGAGACAACGTGGCTCTGGCTGACACTAGTAAATCAGCAGAGGATCCAGCCAAGCCATAGAAGTCTTCCTGGCCTATAGGAACTGTGGGAAAATCATTGTTTCAAGCTGCTGTATTTGGGGGTTGATTGGATATGGGCACAGATTCCTAATATAATTATCAATCAAAACCAGGGGACGGAACTAATCAGGTGAAGAATATTTTCAAAAAAAAGCCTCCCCAGGGCTCACATTTCCATTCCAATCCTCCACACAATGGACATCAAGGAACTATAATTCAGAAACGCTGGCCTTTGTCCCCAAAATGTTCTATGATCATTTCCACTAACACTTACAGGGACAGGTTCACCTTGGGCCCCTTGGTGAGTTTCTGCTTAGATGCCGGGGGGCGGGGGGGGGGAGGCTACCTATTTAGTAGCATCTGGGAGCAGTGTCTACACTCTGCTTAATGAAAGGTGCAAGAACAGATGTCTGGCACCTACAAGGAGATTCCTTAAAACATATAGGATGAGGGTCTGTCTAAGCACAGAAAAACATTCACATGCTTGACAGCCAAACATAATGATGTACTTCTAAATATCATCCCAGACTACTATCCAGGCAGACCTCTAAACTCAAACTCTGGTGACTTCTAACACACCTGCCTTCCACACCACTGTGAGTCCCCTTTAGCATTCTGGTTCTGCCCCTCACTTCCTCCCTACATGTGACTATCTGCTTAGTCAGATCCTGAAAGAAATCTCCATCCAGTTTTCCTAAACCTTTCTCAATACATAAGCTGTGGACATTGGGTCTTTAGGACAGTGACAATTTCAAAGCTGATTAAATAATCTATGTAATTAAAACATCACATGGCTTCTCTTATAGGAGAAACCTAAGGTATAAATAAAGAGCAAAATAAAAGACAAACAGGAGGCAGTAGGGAGAGAGATCGTTCTCAAAGGAAAAGGAGGTCAAGAGATGGAAGGAAAGCGGGTGGGAGGGGGAGGAAAAAGGGAATCAGGATAAGGTATGTACACACACCAGCTCCGCACAAGGAACGTAAGCATCATGTCTGCAAACATCTACTAATAAAGAAAATGCTCTGAAAAAGTTTACATAATAAAATAAGATCTATATTAAGAATCAAAGTTATTGGGATTTGGAGATTTTAATATTTTCTTCAACTTACAGAGGTATTTATAAGATTAAAAGTGGGCTCTAACTGGACTATCATTGGTAACAGAGTAGCTTATAACTGAGGTATTTATTTCTACTTTATTATTTCAGGTACTAATCATACAGAAGGTTTATATAAAATGGTTCTATTTTTCTTTATTTTAGGGACCACTCACAGATTAACTATAATCATATGACAGCACTGGAAATAAAATAATCAGTTACAGGGTGGCCAATGTACTAGGAATAATACAGATAAGAAGACATTAACATCCTTGATTTATTTACCATTGATCTTTTACTCAAAGTCAGCTACATCCCGGGCACGATGGCAGATGCCAGGATGGGCCTGTGTGAGGCATTTAAAATGCAGTAACAGTCGTTTGTGCTTTTGAGGGAACGCTTTTATTTCTTCTAAAAATATGTTATAAATGTTCTGTAGAATAAACTAACAAACATGAGGAAAAACACCACTGAGTAAGAGACAGTCATCTTCAAGAAGGACAGGAAGCTGTGGCCACGGGGAGCAGGTGGCGCTGAGGACGCAGGCAGCAGCGCCAGGCTTCGGTGCCCCTTTGATCCCAGGTGGCAACGGTGAGGCCGTGAGACGAAAAGGCTCCTTCCCAGGCATTCACAACACAGCCTCTGTGGTCCTTTTAAAGCACCTAAAAAAGCCTGCATCATGAGGGCCATATTTTTGGCCTGCTTTTCTATATTTTAATTCCCAAAAGCTACTTTGCCATAGTAGATTGGAAGAAAACTAATGTGAAAGGACTGGGTTTTCATTGCCTTTCATGAACAGTGTTACTCCTACAGAAAATTAAATAAATTTAGGGAGAATCTTGCAGGACTTGATGGACTTAACTGTGGTCCAGAGAGGATGTAAGTGACATATGATCCAGGTCTGCTGGGGGTTTCATTCTAATTGACATCACTTTATGCAGGTGTTATACTATGTCTGGATTAATTCATTCATGGAATAAAAAATACTGCCAGAGACTGTAGCAGTGGCTACGTTTTGCTTCAACCCTTCAGGCTGGGTAGCCTGAGGAGAATGCAAAACTCTCTGTGATTGACAGGTACAAAACTAGGGGCCTCGAATTACAGAGCTACAGTAATTTCCAGCAATAACTTCTATGAAAACTATGTTGGTTATATTTTTTTGTTCAAAAGCAGCTTTTCATTTTTCAGAAGACTGTGTGTCTAAATGTATTTATACACATTGCTGGAAAGTGTGCATGATTGTTATAATAAAAACAATTTGTTAATCTCCAAAGCAGCAAGTAGCTGTTGAAATGCCACCTTTGGATCAGAGATCTCTCAGAAAAATAAGTTTTGACCAATTGTAAAGATGAATACTTTAATCTTTTCTATGTGCTACTCTGCCCCAGTTAAAGTCTTGCCATGTAATTAATCTCCTGGATGCTCCTAAATGACATTTGCTATTTTGTATACACCCCTTTTCAGCAAAAATAACCCAATTTTAATATGAACATCCTACTGCTTTCTCTTTTAGGTTCTCAATCTCAAAACAATTCAACTATCCAAGGTGATTTTAGTACAAACATAAAATTCACTGCAACTAAATAAAATGACAAAGTAGTGAATTACAAAATGCAAAGAATAGTCTGACTATGCTTTACCGTGACAATATTCATAATAATAATAATAGGTTTTGTTCCCCCAAAACCTGTTTATGAAATGTCATTCTCTTCCGCACACAAACTAGTCCTGCAGGGAGTCATGTCTCTGCCTTCGCCCCTCTTTGAAGCAAGTGCTTCTCACTTACATAACCAAGACTGGTCAACCATGAAAAGTTTTTTTTCTTCTTTTGACAAACAGTTATTGGAGCTTGAAAGGGGAAAAGAGAATCTGAACGAAATGCTTTTAGATATGAACTGAAGGAGTCTTGTCTCCTGCACCTCACACTCCTGTACACACATTTCTTTCTAGCGTGAACTCTTATAACCCAAAATATCACACTTTTAGCTTATTGTATTCACATTCTGACTTCATAAAACCAAATCCCATGAAATGTGGTCAGTCAACAATAACCTTCCTCTGAAGAGGTGACTATAAATCTGAAATAGCTACATACATAACTATAGAAATTCTTTTGGGTATTGATTCTAATTATTATTACCCTTTTATGTTAGTTTATAGTTAGTAAGAGAGAGAAGGCTTAGTTGATCATTAATGCTCTTGATTGAGTTCCTTGAAGTAATTACCTTAACTAAAATCTTGCCTCTCAAACTTTGAGGGCTTGGAAGCTGCTTGCAGTCTCCTGTGTCTACAGATGACAAGTCCAGTTTGTCTTGGAATATTTCTTTCAAGTACTGAGCAATCTTCCTTTGCTGCTGGATGCTGCAATGATTCTCAATAGACAATATAACTGGGAACCTGAGGAAACAGTGACACATTCCAAAGGCATCAGGTACAGGCATCTCTTGTGGATCTTTGAAAATGATTCTGTAGTCATTGCATTCTTACAGACTATCAATAGCGATGACGATTAAAATGCTTCTAAAGTATGAAAGATTAGAGACGCATTTAAAAATTCCTCTGAGAAAATATACTTTGCTTGGCATAATGAACAAAATATCAATCCATATAAGATGAGTTCGGTCAATATTTTTTACCAGGCAAAAAATAGTGAATACAATACAGTTTCTAAAAGGAAAAAAATTAAAGACATTAGAAGCCTAAGGAAACTAAACTTACATAATGGAATTTTATTTATATAAAAATCTAGATACATCAAAGCAACCATATATCGTTAAATGTATATCATTAAATGTAGTTATTTACTTTAAAAAGTATATAACTGGTTCCTAGCTTGAAAACTAATAATGAATGAAGATGTGGTAATATAATGGAACTTGATGTTTTACAGCAGCTTGTGTCAGGCATGATGATCATTTTTATAGTGTTATATACTAGTTTTTACTAAAACAATAATTTCCATGCATTCATTCTATACCAGCTTGCAAGTTTCTGTGCAGAGAATGTGAAACTCATCCAAAGACAGTGCTAGCTCCATAATACAGTCTATGAACTAATTCTCCAAATGATCTGCCCATTAGTAAAACCTGATCATGGGAGTGGTATTAGAAACACACTTTTGTGATGAAACGTGCTTGACTAGCTAACTAGAATCTGTTTAGTGTATCCTTACATGGAAACAACAAACTAGTGCCCTGAGGTCATTTTGCAATCTCACCAGGAGTTTTAATGGCAAATCTTAAAATTATCAATCCATTTTCAAAAAGCCTGTTAGCACCTAGTGATGCTTAGTGTACACTGCTTCTCACAAACAGGGAGGGAATGACTTTGTACACGTTCCCACTAAGGGGCACTTATCAGTGTCTAAGGACTGTTTTGGTGGCCACAATTCAGAGGGTCCAACTGAACTTTACTGAATGGAAGCCACATGCTGCTAGTCATCCTACAATGTACGGCAGCTCCCCACAACAAAATAACAAGATAGCCCAAAATGTCAGTAGTGCCAGGGTTAAGAATCTCTCAGGGGAAAATGCACCTGAAATTTAAGAGAGAGAAAAGACCAAACCTTTTTTTTAAGTACTAAAGAACCATGTTGTTTTAAATTAAGTGCATTTCTTCTAGAGTATTCCAAATGAGGTAAATAGCCGAGTGTACAGGCTTCAGGCCTTCTCAACATAATAGTTTATATATTGGGAAATAAGGACTTTCACTTTGACTGATAGAAATCCCCAAGGTTGTGAAGACTGATCAGAATTTAGTACTCAAGAGTCTTCTACGTAGAACTAAACTAAATCTGCTTTGCAGCCAGTATCTCTTATTGGACTCACACTTTAATTTCATGATTAATTAATAAGGTCAAATGTTAAAAGTTTGAAGCCCACCAACTTCTAAAATATTAATGCAATTGTAATTTCAATTTGCTTTTTTAATTCAAAAATCCTCTCTTGTGCATCTAGCATATTGCAGGTAGCTGCCAAGCAACAAAGAATGAGTAAGAAATGCCTAAAATGCAGCTCCATATTTTCAGTGAGTTCACAGTCTTACAGATTTAGATGAAAGCAAGTACCTACAATTTAACAAACTGCTAGGAGATATGACAGAAATATGTTCTGGGTGCTAAAAAAGAGAGGAAAGATTTATATCAGCTAAGGGTCAGCACACTTGCCACAGGGACAATGCATAAATAATCTTGTAGGACAATCAAGAATGAGGTGGACTGAATACGGGGAGGCAGACATAACAGCATAACATGAGCGTGGGGGTCACTGGGGATGCTGATCAGTGCTTGCTGCAGGCAGAATCCTAAGTCTCTGCGGAGCACTGGCAAGGAAGGCAACAGAAGAGAAGGACACAGGCAGGCCTTGAGGGGCATGAAGACATGCCTGTGCATACAGCAAGCTTCTGAAGAACTTCAAGACAAGAACGACAACATCACGTATACATTTCAGAAAGAACACTACGGCCCAGTGTGGAGATGGACCAAAAGGAAAATGAAAATAAAGAGAAGGAAATGGAGTCCAAGGTAACTTAGCGAATCGAACTGAGAGCAACTGGCTGAACCTAGAGTGGCTCCTGACTTCTGCCTTGAACAGTAAGGAAATAGGAAGTAGAACGAATGGGAAGAGGAGGTCTGGCAGAATGGGGGCTGAATGAAACCCAGACGGGAACTCAGCTGAGTATCTGCTAAGGCTTTTCCTAGTCTGTATCAGTCTGGAATTTAGGGAGACAGTTCTAGGCATGCAATTAGATAAATCTCCCTGAAAGTATAGCACCTCTTACAAGAGTGAGGAGATGGGAAAGCACTACAGGCAGAGAAGCAGTGACTGCAACAGAGGAGAGAGTGCTTTGATGGGAGTTAAAAATGCAAGCTTTGGGGAGGAAATAGCATTATCACAGCCAAGGCGGGACCAAGTAACATAAGCATATCAGTTGTGCACACCAACACCCATTAGACCTCCAGCTGAAACCTAGGGACTATTTCACTGTATTGTAATGCAGTGTCAAAATGCTACTTATTACGCATAGAAACCCATATTTCCTGAATTCGCGGGCACTCCACAGCCTCGGTTTAGAAACTCAGAGGTCTCTCTTTGCAAGGACACCTATAAGAGGGCAGTGTGGAAGCAGAAGGAACGGAGATCTGCAGCCCGAGGAAGAGCGTGTGGCTCTGCATCTGCCTCATCTCAGCAGCGCTCCACACGCTGTACTTACTCATTCTTCACAAAGGCATGCTTGTTGATGGTCTCCACAACATCTCTGAAGAGAATTTTTGAAGTGAGAGTATAACCATGGTGTACTACTGGCTCTCCATCTGGGCCATCCCAACAATCAACTGCCAAAAACAGAACGTCATATCAGCAACCCAAGGTCTCTGGTATTTATTAATATTTCTAGAAATATCAGACAAAACTTATTTCGACTTTATTATTTGAAATTTAATTATTCCAATCATGATAAAGATTTCAGACAGAAAAATGAATATTCTGATATATTTATCAAAATAGAGGGTTAAAGATAAATGATTTGTAATTTTAGTGTTTGTAGTTTATGAAGATGTCATCTTTATAAGCAGTCAACAAAAATTCTCTTAGAAGTTGACTAACCAGGGGCTGGGGATTTAGCTCAGCGGCATAAGCACCTGCCTTGCAAGCAGGTGGTCGTGAGTTTGATCCCCGGTACCGATAAAAAATGAAAAACACACACAAAAAAGAAGTTGACTAACCAAGTGTGTCCAAGGGTGTGATATGTCACTGCCATCTCTAAATTTACTTCTTCACAAGACATTTTTAGTAAATTACCATGTGCCTCTCAAATCACTAACAATGCCTTTCTGGATTATTCATTTAAACTCATTTACTTCTATCTTATTCTTGTAGTAGTTATAAAATAACCTCTACTTCCAAAGTTCAAAGCCTGAAGTAAAAAAGTATGTGAATATGGAAAAATTATCTAAAAATTATCTGAATTTGAAACTTGCATTCCCCACCTATAAAACGGAAATAATAATTGCACTTACATCATAAACTTGAACAATGACTCCTTATGACATCTCATGGCACACAGCACTGTTAGGGACACTGCTACTCTTGGCATTGCTGTGTACCCAGACAATCTCATTGGTTTCCAGTAGAGAAAGACGAGCTTTACACATCATTCTCCCTGATACAAGGTTTGCCCTCCCTTACTTCTACCTCTAGATTAATTTCTTAAAACACTACTTTCCCTTTCTCTTTCACTCAAAAGCTTACTTGGCATATAACACAGGATCTTAGCAGGGAGTTTGTAAATATGTGCCAAACTTCTTAATGAATACCCTAAAGCCTCCCTCATGTTCTTGTCTCCTTAACGCCTGGGCCATCACTTGTGCTAGAGTTGCTTTAATGTCTTAACTCCTAACTGACAAGCCAACCTGATTTTCTCCTGTACCTCAACCCACATGTGTATTCTTTTAGTTATGTAAATTTCTTCACACATAATTCCATTTCTATGCCCTTTATTCTTTCATCTAAGGTCAACTGAAAGCCCACTTTTACTTAGCTTATCTAAATTCCAATCAAGGCTGAGCTAGGACACCCCACAGAACACTGTCAGCCCCCAGGATCCTTTCTTATGGCAGGGGTAGGGGATCACAAACTCAAATACCAACAGGAGCCTAGTAATTAATGGAAATGGATACAGCAGTCCAACAGGAAATGTGTATCTAAACTCAGTACCTTTTCATTGTCAATCACTGTAAGCTGGAAAAAGAGCTCTGGTTGCCAGATCTTCTGAGAAAAATAAAAACTTTAGATCATACTTGATCTTAGCCAAAAGGCCAGAAGCAATAAAAGTCTAGGTTTTATCTCTGTAAATCATCACTTTTTTGGGGGGAGTAGCCCTCAGAATTGAGCCCAGGGCTTCATGCATGTTAGGCAAGTGCTCTACCATCAAGCTATACCCTTAGCCCTATTTTCCCAATTTTTAAATCTTGGCAATTAATCTAACTTTTAAAATCTAATATGGGACACATATTAAAAATTTTGCAGGAGCATATGGCTAATAGAATGCCTGGTGAAACTCTGTCTTTAATTAGGGCCACACAGTTCAGGACTAAACCTGTTTTATTTTGTAGAGCCCACCCATATGTGTGCGCTCATATATTTTTGCAGGAGATGATATCTCTGTTTCTTTAGAAAATATTCAAATTTTTCACTATAACCATAAAATGATGGTGGCAGTTAAGTTTAAGTGTCAACTGGCCTAGTTTAGAATGCTCAATTGTTTAGTCAAACTCCAATCTAGATGCTGCTATGATGATTAACAATTAAATCAGTAAACTCCAAGAAAAGCAGACTATTCTTCACTCTGTGGGCAGGACTTACCCAATCAATTGAGGACCTTAAGAATAAATATGGATGTTTCTCATTGCAATACTACAGCATAGAAGCTGCCTGAGTTTCCAGCTTGCACACTTTAGAACTCACACCTAGAATTAGAGCACCAATTCTAACCTAAGCCTAGAAATTCCCCATCATCTGTACAGATTTAGGACTTTTCTCAAACTTTCTATTTCTCTATATATCTTAGTGGTTTTGTTTCTCTAAAAAACCTCAGCTAAGATAGGTTACCTATATTAATCCATTAAATACTGACTATTCAAATATCTCTAGGGGAAATAGTAGAAAAATAAAAGGAGAAAATCTTACAAGGTCAATACACAGAAATACAGGAAATAATAGTTGAAAAATAAATGTGCTGTTGGGAAGACTACTGTACTATCCTATAGTATCACACTGTTCCTTTGGGTCTGCAAATGAGCTCAAATGTATCAAAGACATTTCAGAAGAGGAAATTTCTTTACCTTTTTCTATGTAATTAAAACTATCACTGGATATAGACATGGAAAGAATAAACAAATGTTTAAAGTCATGTGCCACATAATGGCATTTTAATCAATGACAGACCAACTATCAAATGATGATCCCATAAGAGTATAATGGACCTAGAGCTGGAGATTTAGCACACACACACACACACACACACACACACACACACACAAACACATTATAATGGACCTGAAAAGTTTCTATTACCTAGTGCAGGGATTCCCAACCACTGACCACTGGCCACAAGCTGGTACTGATCCACAGCCTGCTGTGAACCTGACCACATAGCAGAGAAGCAGGCATCAAACGAAGTGTCATCTGATAGCCACTTGCAATCACCTGAGCTCCAGGGCCGGACAGATCAGCAGCAGCATTAGTTTCTTACAGTAATGTAAACTCTGCTGTGATATAGGGATGGAGGGATCTAGCCTGTATACTTCCTTTGAATCATCCCTAAGCCATTTCACAACTGCCACTGGGTCCTTGTAAAAATTTTCCTTCATGACCATTGGTGCCAAAAAGATGGAGGAATGCTGGCCTAGTGACATGGTAGCCATCATAATGTGTTAGCACAACATGTTAATCATATGTCTATAATCATACTGGTATAAATCAACCATCCTGACTTTCATACAAAAGTATAGCATATACAATTATGTATAGTATGTAATACTTGATAATAAACAACTGTTACTGGATTCTTCACTTAATGTTATATACTCTTATCATTATTTTTGACTGTTTTCTTTCTACTTGTAAATAAAAGAAGCTTACTGTAAATAAGAAGCTATGTTACACTGGCAGCAGCCTCATAACACTGCATGTTTACTGAGTGTGCAGATTGTATCAAGCAGCCATATGGAATGATTGACAACACAAACTAGGTTTCTGTAAGCACCATCTGATGTTTGACAAGACTACCTAACATATCTCCCAAAGTCTATCCTCAGCTTTAAGTAACACTGTATGTAATTTCAATGATCTTTACCCCGATTTGTAGTCTCATCTTGGAGGATAATGGGTATAACAGGATTTCTCATAAATAAACTAGTATGTTTCCAAAAGTAATACAGGCAAGGCAAGGCCATGCCTGACTTGTTCATCAGATCCACATTAAAACAGCTTTTGAAACTATCGATTATAAAATAGGGCACACTTGTTAATATTCATAACATAAGCATGACATTCATAGTTGATGAGGTGGATTCTTCCAAACTATATATCTGATTTCACTACTTATCCATTAAATCAGGATCCCAATGAAGATAGTGCCAAAAGGCTTGACATTTCAATAAATGGCACCCATGGCCAGGTTCAAGGCCACTAAGTTTTCTGTAAGGGCTAACACCATAATGGGAATATTGACAGGTTGACAATTCTCTAATCTATTCCCTTAGCCACAAACTAGGGGCCTTTGTTCAGTCTGGTTATACACTAGAGACAACCCTAAACTCTTTAGCAAAGAGCTAAATTCTCTAAAGGCCAAATAGCTAACTCTAGAGCTTTACATAATGGAATGTAAAGATGTTCCACACTGCTGAGCTACTAGAGATAGCCGGAAAAGTTGTAAACCAATTATAACAGCAATCTAGCATCAGTTTTGTAATTAAGAGTACAAATTTCCTGGATAGAATATCCATATTTATTGAGAAACTCAGGCTGAAAAGCAAGTTAATTCAAAGCCATGTAAAGAACATTACCAACACAATTTTTCTGACAAGCCCACCTTACCACAAAGATTCATTAGTCCTGAAGACCCCATATATATCATGATTAAGAACATTACTACACTACCCCATTATTAAAATAGAAGCTCAAAAGAAGGAGGGATTCTTTTGGTTACAATACCATGAAAAAATCTTGCAGAATCATTATTTTCCATTTTTAAATGCTATATTCAGCTGCTTCAGAAAATATCTGTGGAACCTGAATTTTTCAATCCATGACCTGTTTTGTAAATCAGGTTGTTTAAATCCACCTATAACTGTTTAAAAATAAAAACAACTTCAGCCAGACCTAAGGTAGGTAAAGTGCATTAGTGTCTCCATGTTTAACAGCTAAATATTAACTAAGATCTTCAGATTACACAGATTTCAGTTTCTGATAGAAACTGAAAGATGACAAAAAGGGGGCTGGGGATTTAGCTCAGCGGCATAAGTGCCTGCCTTATAAGCAGGCAGTCGTGAGTTCGATCCCCCGTACCGATAAAAAGGAAAAAGACAAAAAAAAAAAAGATTAAATAAAAAAAAAGAAAGATGACAAAAACATCAGGTCATTTTGCTAGTCAGGTTTTTTTTTTTTTTTTTCTCTATGATCAAGTACCTGAGACAAACAGTCTATAAGGAAGAAAAGTATATTTTGGTTTTTGAGTCCTTGGCTCTGTGTCTGGGCTTGTGGCAAGGCAAAAGAAAATCACCCCTCAATACTATCAAATTATCATCTGATCAATGGATTAATCCACGTGGTG